TTTGAACATCAGCATGAACAGCTGAGGAAATACTAATTTCTGCTCCTTGTTTCATCTGCTGCATCTGTGCAACCTCCCGAGCAGTCACAGCAGCAGTGAAACTGGAAGGCTCCCTCCCAGCTTGCCAGGGATGCTGCAATGGAGACAGCACGCTCACAGGCAGGGATCTCCTCGAGCACCTACCTGCTTGGGTAGAAAACTGGAATTTCCCATCTCTCATCCAGCAGAATATGTTTTCTAATTACAAATTAAACACTAATTGTGAATCATCATGTTTTCTTGCCACTAAAGATACCAACGCAAATGCTTTCAACAAGCTTCTGAATTTTTTTAATAGAACAGTTTAGGACTTAATTATTGCTTGAATTCACATATAAATAATTATCTCCATTCCAGGTTGCTGTGAGACACTGGTGTTAAGGTGATACTTTCTTTATAAGCTTTTGAGAAAACATACCAAGTACATTAGCACAAGACTGGAGAAAGTCCCGTCTTTGATAATGTTCCTCACTATGAATGCCAAAACAGACTCCTCTTCTGTGTGAATAAAACAACATTCACTCTATCCCATTCCTCCAAACCAAGATCTTCCCTATATCGTATCAGGTATTTTGCTGCAATTGATTAATTACAGCTTTGGTAGCTATAGTGAATGAGAACATCATTTTCTTATCAAAGGCCTTTAACAAGCACACCTGCTTGATTTTGCAGAACATCTGGAGCCCATCCACTTGCTGCTGCACAGCTCAGACTCCTGCTTGTTTGTGTCCTCTTCCAGTTTCTCTTCAACAAATGTGGACCTAAAATATAATTTGCCTGATTTGAACTGAACCTGCAAACATGAAAAGCTGCACATGCAACATCTGTCTGAAAGGAGTTAAATTCCAGCACAGGAAGGCTCAATTTTAGACAAAACACCCATCCATGCTTCTGATCCCTTGATTGGAGCAGTCCAAGTCATGGCACAAAAAGGTCATTCCTTCTCTTCTATTACCTTTTACTTTCTCACAAGAAGTCTCTTACATGAGATTTGACCCATCAGACTTTTAACCACATCATTAGCAGAGTTTATTAATCATAAATCAGCAGCTCTTGTTTTTTCTTCCAACGTGAAAAGTGTCTTTGTGCTCCCAGCCCAAGCTTTTCCCTCGCCTTGATTCACTTATGTCTTGGATCTATTCAACAGCTCATGATACCCCCGGTTCCCTGAGCTGCCTGTAGCATTGGATACTTTCTCTGAACAGCTTGCACTGACTCCTTGATGTACAAGCATTTAATTCAAGTGATACTGGCAGGAAGCAACATTAGGTAGGGTGAGTTCAGAAGATTATTCTGCTATTTGTGGAATTCAGTGGTGGGGTCTGGTTCTGCCAGCAGCCCAACATCAGGTACTGCAAGATACAGATTAAATACATGAGTGCATATTTGAACGGAAACTATATAATCTAAAACAATTACTTACATGCACGCACCTGGATGCCTGTTAGAATAATGCAGATAATTTTGGGAGCTACTATTCATCTCTCATAACTTCTTGTTTGCTGACATCTGTCTGCCTGTTTCTAAGTCAAGGTTTTCTAAACTCAAGCCGAGGGCAAGACAGTAACATACAGAGGAAAGCAATTGAAATTCTAATGAATTCTCTCTATTACTCATAAAAATTGCCTTACAGTTTCATGGCTAAATAGCTAGCAACACATTCACAGCAAATCTTACAACCAGGCCACAATCGGTCAGTGAAGAAGGGAAGCAAATAAATCCACTCTCTGTGGTAAAGCAACATCTTTCTCATCTATACCGATGAGAAATTAGTAAATTAATTCCGTGCAAGTCTGATTTCCCACTTATTAGTGTTATCTGCAATCAAGCAATAGAGTCACTTCCTTCTTACAGGGTCTTGGTATACATATGGCTGACCTAGCACAGTAAATAAAGCAGAGAGATCAGGTATCAGCAAACCAAGGTGGCAAAGAAGAGTTTGTTGTCACGCGAGGGCTTGTGAGTATTCACACAAAGTCCTCTTTTGCAGAAACCCAAATCTGGCACTGAGTACATCTATCTAATTGAATGTGTACCAAGATGACCAGCGTCTGAAAGAAACAGGCCTTTTCTAGGCTGCAAAATACCAGATAAAGAGTAGTCTTGCTCTTACTACCCATCCTACCTCCCCCTGCAGCTTCCTCCGCCTGAGCAGCTGCCACCCTTGCCTGCGGTCTGCCAGCTGCTCCCCCCGAGCCCGCTGCCGGCCATCCCAGAGGGGACATCTCCTCTCACCCCCTTCCAGAAAGCCGGCATAGTGCACTCTGTCCTTCTGACCATAGCACGTAAACTGAGCATAAATGAGGGGAAAAATAAATATAAATAAATAATCTGATGCTCCCTATCAACCCTCTCTTCCCCATTTTTCATCTTTTTTATTCTTTCAAGGTGTATGCTTGGTACCCAGAGCAGTTTGAGTCCTAGCGGGAAGGAAACGAAAAAGGACTTTTCTTCAGCCACACAATAGTCTATTGTGCTCTTAAGACAGTGAGATACTGCAGCTGAGACAAATATTCCTATCTTCTGCGAGTTGTTATTACAGCCATTTATTTCTGGTGCTAGGCCATGCCAGAGCATGGAAAGATACTCTCAGCATTTGTAAAATATTTTTTAAAACCCTAAATTGCTATGCTGGTCTCTGACATTGGGGTACTTTAACTGCCCAGTAGTATGATAGTCCCTTAAGAACAGACTTGGCACTTGGAATATCCCTCCCGCCACTTAAGATATAGGCTAACAGAAGCTTCTTGTTCACTCCAAAGCCATCTGTTCAGTAAAGCAACCTCCTGACACCGTTAGGAGCTGCTTGTTGAAATGGTGTCCTTATGTCACCTTTGACCCGTAGCTGTGGCACACTTTGCAAATCTATACAAATGACATTGGAGCCGAACATTGCTAATCTGAGGCAGGAAGTATATCTTACTGTTCAACTCAAAATTTGACATTTATATTCAGATGGACTCTATCACACAGTCTTGTGTGTTCTTGCACTGCATCATGTGCAGCTTATTAAAATGAATTATGGAGGCAAAACTCCAGTGTGTTTAAACGAAAGCTTTAAGGAGTAGTTCTTTATATTTCTTGTATAGCTCTGAAACAGTTTAACACCATAATAAAGGCTTTTCATACTCTTCTATGCTTTAAAGAGAGCTTTTAAAGGTGTTTACATAAACTCTAGTATAGCCTTTAGTGGCACAGTAGCATTTGTTTCTTCATCCCATGTTACTCTCCACACTAAACAGCCCTTTGTCTGGCAAGGAATTGTGACTATAAGCTGCGTACTTCCAGGTTTTTTACTAGGTGAAAACACACCGGTTCACAGTTTGGTTGTTAACATCGCCCCTTTTTAAAACCAGAATATAATCAGGTACTCAAACAGCTGTGCCCTTCTTTTACAAGTATTAAAAAAAAAAAAAAAAAAAGGAAAATTAATAGATGGTAAAGATGGGAACTGAAGTTTCAACAAGAAAAGTGTGTTATACATCATTTCATGGACAAGAAATAAAACCAGAAACATCTTAGCAACACATACAGAGGTCAAGAACACAAGGCTGATGCTACTCCAGTGCCCTGCACTAAAGACATTATTCTCAACTCTAAGACATCACAGGGGTCAATGCTCGCTAAGCTCAAACTGATACTGGAATACAAGAGCCTAGTTCAAAGGCAAAAGTCGTCAGGAATCTTCTAGTGTTTACCCCTGTAAAACTTCTAGCATAAAATCTGGAAGAACTGAAGAAAAGAATACTAATCTATGATAAAAGTTTCTAGAAGCACTGTAGTGGCTTTAGTAAGCTTAAAAAAAAAAAAGTATCCGTGGATTCCGAGAGGTGATCTCTACAAAAAAAGAAGTATCAAAAAGGAAGGAAAAAGAGAAAAACATAGGGAGAAAGGGAGCAAGAATAGACGTGCAGTTGGTGTGATGTCAGCAAAGATATAAGGGGTTTATACTATTAAGAATGTTCCCCCCAAATTGTCACAGTATACTGGAGTATAGAAAGATTGAGTGATTTGGAGGTTTTAAATGAAAAAAATGCATATGTATAGAAAAAGATTGTACAAGGGACCTCACCTGATCTCCTTCTACAGCAATCAGCTTTCCCCAGGGTTCAAAAGTGGCTTTAATATCAGAATTGAAAAGAAAACAGGCAACAGGAATTAGGCAAAGTGCAGCAAATGTGACAGAGGGCAGGGACACAGCTTACAGTAAATGCTCTTTTATTACTTAGTTCATCAAAACATTTCAGTTTTCTGTGCAAGATCTGAATCAAAGCAGCAATACAGTCATTTGTCTACTGTAACATTTCCATAGGAGTTAGCATGACAGACTTTGTGCACAGGACTAATGCTTAGTGTGTTCAAGTCACATGAAAACTGAACTGTATTCTTAAGAGCAGGAGCAACAAATTGCTTGTAGTCATCGTTTCATTAGTCAGCTTTGAGCACCACACAAGAAAACAATAAATTGCTTAGGAAAGAAAGTGACCTTGTATTATTATGTATTGAGAATTCATAATTGCAGAATGCCACAGTCTAACGATAGAACTATTACAGTAGGTTTGGTTTGGTATTATGGGGTTTACAATAAATATTTGATGAGGTTTGTTTATTAGTATATCTGGTAAGTGTTTAGACAGGAGAAATTTTTGATGTTTTGATAGATTTTGTATAGAAATAGTTTTAATTAAGTACCCAAAGCTTTAGAAAATAAATATTTTGATGAATATAAGATCTGATTAAGACACGTAGTAATGAGAGAGGTATAAGAAAATGCAGTTAAAATATATAAATTTCAAGTGCAAAAAGAAACACCATTATTTCTAAAGAGTTTGAACCTTCTTTCTCAAACCCATCTCTCTCTTTCTCTAATAAAGCTAAAATACCAGCCTTTAAATAGGCAGTGCCACTATTCAGCTGGTAGGGAAGATACATCTATTGCACTAGAAGTACAAAGCTAAGAAGAATGCATAATATTTTATTTTTAACTTATTTACAAAAAGATATTGCACCAATCCATTGTCCTTTTTTCAGTTTAACATGTTAAGGAAAAGCCTATTATTTACAAAGTTAAAAACAGAAGTGCAAAAGCAGACTGAAAGAAACCAGAAAGAATAAAGTTTATTTAAATTGCTAAGTACAGTTTATTACCTGACCATAGCCCACATCCAGTATGATCTAAAATAGTTTTTATCATGTATATCTGTAATTTCAGAAATCCTTGCATTTCTCTGTAGATGCAACCCTTATCTTTTACACTAACCACTAGCAGGTCTACGTAAAATGTAAAGGCTAACCATAGCTTAACTTAATAGCTTTATTTCTCCAGGAAAGTGACGCTCCTTTAGGTAAATTGAAAAAGATATAGTATTATACATGTATTTGAAAAGTAGCGATAAATCTGGCATGATGGTTTTCATTCTTCCTAAAAACCATGAGGAAAAGTTTGCTGATGTTTCAGGACTGATTATTCTAAAGACACTGCCAGTCCAAATGACGTTAGCACAGCATATGGTCCTGTCTCAGTCTATCTGCCACTGGGACTGTCATGATGCATTTCTGGGGTGTAGGTAAGTAGAACAATCATGACCCAGAGATGAAGCAATGCCTGGGGAAAAAAAAAAGAAAGAATTAACTTATCAGCACTGACAATCATTGTTCACAGCAGCAGTAAATATGAGAGCTCTCAATGAAAGCTAATAAAACCTAGTTTTGTAGAAATATTTTCATTAAATATTTTTCATATTATTCAGATACTCCTAAGAAAAAGAATTCTTATTTGCACAATGAAATGCTGAGTCAGATTCTCAAGAAGTCATTTGCAGAAAACTAAAGATTTTACAAACAGCAAAACTAAATCTGTAGGAAACCAGGCTGCTTTATGTCCTGTGGCTTCTTTTTCCCTCTGTGCCCCAGTAAGGCCAGCTGCTCTCTCTGATATCCAGCCCCCAGCCAGTGCCTTATGTGATCTGCCTCGAGTGACTGGTAAGCCACTACTCCTGAATCAACCGGCTGATACCAGACTGTGTAAAGCAGCAATCTTCTGCTGTCCTTACCACAGGCACTGATTTGAGACATTTTTATGAACTTCTTAGGAATGTTAATTCTCATTCAAATTTGGCTGAAACTATCCAATTAGAATAGAAGTTGCTGGGGGTGCAACAAGGGAGATAACTGACAGAATACATAGCCACATCTCCTTAAAAAAAAAAAAAAATTTCAAGTTACAATAGTCATAGTCAAAGTTCAAGCTGAAAAAGGGTAACTTCTATGCAACCATCATTGCGTTTCACTTCAGGTAACAGCTTAGCTGGTAGAAGTCTTCAGTGTTTTGGTACACAGCATTTTATTCATATATTGATAAGTCTAAGTCATGAACAGGAAGAGAGAGAGAGGTTAGGAAGTAAACAGCCTTGTCCCTTCCAGTACCTAGTAGGCTGGAAGAAGCAATTGCAGGGCCAAACTGTCATTTCCTTTATTCATGTGTGTCTGCCTGCTTTATATCCTGAAATAGTGACAGCTGTTCTTGGAAACTCTGTTCAGAAGAATCATTATGCCTTCTCAAGCAACATTTTTTTTTAATTTCAAAGACTCAAAGGCTCAACTAGTGGAATATTTTCAAGCAGGGTAGACTGCACACGTACCTTACCACAGGTCACTTAAACTGACAGGCATCTGCCCTCCAGTGGAAAACGGAGGAATTTAATTTTTATCAGTTGCAAGTCTGACAATCTCACCTGGTATGGATGAGCAACCTTCTACTATTTGTTTAAGTCTAGCAAGAAAAACTTTTCTTGCTACTTCTTCAGCTACTAAGGAAGTGTGATTATTAGTCACTGAACAAAAAATGAAGTGCCAAATACTAAAAAAGCTGTAACAGATGTCATTTTCCTAAATGCAGTGCACGCAAGTGGATGGATTAACCTTGGCAACAGGTCACTATTATTCTGTCTTTTAGTACTAAAACTCTACTTTTACAGTCTTTTAAATGGTAGTTACATAAGACAAAAAGTCTTTAAGACTGTTATACTAAGAATTCCTGGGAAAAACCGAAAACTGCCAAGTGACATGACTCCAAAATGCTGTTATGTAAGTACTCTGTAGTCAGTTTTACAAAAAAATACATTGAGTTGTTAAAGTTAACTATATAGCCTTTTGAACATCAAACATCTTGCAATTTATGACGTATTATATAAACTGGCTATAGAAATCTTGCATTAAACTTCTTACTTTAAAAAAAGCTTACTCACCATGTAAATGATTACAAAGACTCTTGCTATGGGATATCGCCTTAGAAAGATTCCCAGCCGAATACTACACAAAAGAAAAACAAAATGCACAAGTTAGCACTGAGCACTGAACTCCTGTTCCTCTCATTCCAATCACCACAAACTCATAGACATCAGCTGATAATTATTACATATTATATACATGGCTTTGTTTCTGACTTGAATTTTACTTCATGTATTGAAAACATTAAATGGAGTGAGCAAATTCAGAATTCAGACCATAAAACATATTCTCCTAAGTTCTTCTGTTACATGCTAGGCTCAGAGTTTGTGAAAAAGAGCTAAGACCCAAGAGTTGTACAGGTATTTTAAAACTCACAAATATGCTATATATTTGTCAAATTTTGTTACTTGAGAAGCTGTCATGAATCTTTCAAAAAGATTTAAGCAACTAAAACCTTGGATTCCTTTGAAAAAACTGACAGATCACTACCATTCTTATATTTCATTAGATGAAAAAGACATGGGTTTTCCTATTTTACTGCTACAGTGCTACGAAGCATACTGCATTAGATGTGTGCTCAGTAACGTCAGTTAAAAAAACCCATGCGGATACTGAAGTAAGTATGATACTGCCAAATTCAGTTTAGTATTAAAATATCACATATAATAGGTCCCAATCATGAAATCAGGATCAGGAAATCCTGATATTCTTCACAATGAAGTTAAAGTTCCATGGAAGCATAAAGGACTTTCTGACAAGGTATCTTGCTTTCAAAGGATTAAGAAGTATTACCCAATTTTGTTTTCTGTTGGTATTTGGTTCAAGTTTTGGAGCAGACCTTTGTTGTGAATATTGACAATTAACCTAACTACTCAGAAAAGGGATCAAAGCAAGTCTTTTGCTGGATGATTTTTGTTTACTAATTCCTCAAACACATTATCTTTCAAGGTAAACAGCTGCACTGGGTCAGAACCCAGATCTTGTCTTCATCAGGATGCCTAAACAGGAATAAAAGAATACATGATACTCCCCCACTAATACACTCTTACAGTGTTTACCACAGACACAGTCAAAACCTCTGAAAGTGAAAAAGGTAGAAGATGGTAATGAAAAAGGTTAGGTTTTTTGTACATAGTTTAGTGATTCTCTTGGATCAAAATCCACAAGAGCGTTCTTTAAATAATTGACTATAATTTGCAAAAGCCCAAGGATATTAGTATCATAGGAAAGCACAAGTAAACTAGGTCAATATTTAGAAATTTATACTGCACTTTAGCCTCATTATTTTTTTACTTTTACCTTCATACAAGCAATTCAAAACAGAAGGTGTGCCACTTGAAAACTGCAAAAGGATTCCAGCAATTACAAAATGTATTCCCTTAGGACACTCTTACCTAAACTGATCTATGCTGCTGGCAGCTTTGCGAACTCTCCCATACATTCCTGCCATGTTAGTATCCATGTCACTAAACAGGACAGGAACATTACGCATACGAGCACCTATTTCAAGGGGAAAAAAGCAAAAAACCTCATTAGTCTAAAACCAGCTAAGTTGTTGTTTAAGTAAAACAAATTGATAGTGTATAACAAAGATATATAAAAATAATATAAAAATAGTGATTAATTTGATTTGTTAGTGCTGTTTTGCTGGGGGCAGAGGAGTGTGTTTTGAGGGCAGGATTCTTGATAAACTTACAATCAAGTCAAATGTTTCTTCAACTTAGTATATTTTTAAAATTTATTTTAGTTCACTAGATGGACATCTTGATATTCAATTCTATCGTAATAATAATTCTATTACTAGGTGTATAAAATGATGGGTTTGATGCTGTCACAGTTTCTCCATTTGCTTTTATTTCTCATACAGTAAAACTTCAATAGCATTTCTGATACTAACTTGTATATTCAAAAAATTTCTACTTTATTTACATTTTTACTATGTATCAACTTTATTAGAAAAAAGGATTCTCAGATAATGTTACCTTTGTGCAACTAAACTTAAGCTTACTGAAGTTACTTAAAAACAAGCCAAAAAGAAATATATTTCAAATTTGCTAGTTCTCCTGCCTTATTTGTTTAAAAGTCTTTCATAAGCAGAGAAACAAAAGTCTGGATTGTCATTTTACTCCTCTTAGTAATTGTTCATTGCTTTTAAAGTTACTTATCATATATACAAAATTACAAACTTTGACTTTGAAAAGTAACATCTCAAAACCATGGATCAACTGCTGAGGTTCTCCTAGAGAGATACAGGATGATCACTACACAGTACAGACAAACCAACCTCAGCAGAACCACCATATTGTAAGCTGCTTTTCAAGAAAAACAGAAAGCAAGGAGGAAGTTGATTTCAACCAGTATTCTGATCAACTCTCAAAAGGGAGTATGCCATTCTGGCTCACCTCCCAAACCCTTTTTACAAGAGGACTTATATCCTGCTTCTGACATTCAGTTTAAACCCCAAAAGACAGATTTATTTGCACCTGTGACAGCATTGGTAAATATGATTGTTCCAATAGTTCCACAGTATTGAGAATGAAAGATGAAATTGGCTTTATTAAGTTTACTTACAGTCATTTACACACAAAAAGGAGCTTCTAATTAACTATTTTTTATGATACTGGCTGCTGTTGATAAGGTCTCTGGCATAAGCTGCATATTTTCAGCATTTTTTTTCCTTATAAACTCAGACTTTCAGGGAAAGGCATTAGGAAATATAAAAGCCTGAACTGCAGAAAGGACAGAGTTTTAAGTATTATGTTTCCTTATTTACCTTCAGCACCGTCAATGCCTGCCATATTAATGGAAGGTCCATTAGTACTAGTGCCTTGGATAGTCTTCAGCTGTTGCTCAAGTCTTTCCAGTTGATAAACAAGTGAGTTTTTCTCTGTGCTCAGGCTCTCTAACATGGTTTGCTTCTGAATTAGTGTTTCTGTCAGCTGATGAAGCCGATTTTCTAATTCTGTCTGACTACTACTACTTAGAGCCTTGTTTGTGAGCTAAAAAACAAAGCAAAGAAAAAAATCAGAATAAGTTCAAAGTCTGACCAACTGACATATTACAAAACTCTCAAAATCTAAGCCCTCCAAGAACCAAGTTACCCTATCGCAGAATTTTTATGGGATAATACTATCAAAATGATCACCAATGAGCACAATAAAGAAGAAACTTAATTTCAGCAATTGCTAAAACAAGATTTTACATGACACAAGAAACTATGTAAAAATGTATTCCTATGTTTTCCACCTCTAATCATATGAGCATTTCTGTATAACCATAAGTTTGATCACAAAAATCAATGCTATGCCTCAGAGCTGAGTTTAAATGGTAGGCATGACAACAGCAAGATAATCCAGTCTGGCGATCATCCTTGCAACTTCACAAAACAAGTGAGTACATAAAATGTTTTCAAGCGAGGAAGGAAAAACTCATACAAATGGGGAGAATTTGATGCCGTTCTACAGGAAAGCTTGAATGAAAATGGTGAAAATGCAGGATACACTGCAGAAGAATTGAGGAGCACTGAGGCAGAAAGCATGATTGTACTAGCAAATAGAAACTGCAAGAACAGCAAACGAAGACATGGATCACGTCACTCAATTTGCAGAAAATATTTTAAGCAAATGGGAATCTCCAGATTAGCCATATGTGCAATAGCTCGTCTATTCACTACAGTCTTGGACCTCAGCCACTTGTAGCATCATAGCTTCAATAATGAAAAAACAGAATTAGCAGGAACCACAGGCAGTGAGATATCAAAAATACAAATTAGATGCAATGCACCAGGGCAGGTGCAGGTAGTCCTGAAGCCAGTATTACCAGAAGAATCATCTGTCAACAGGCTCAAGAAATTTGTATCACAACACAACAATTTCCATGTCCTCTGACACAGTAACTGTACAGCTGACCATAGCTGACTCTAGACTATCAATTTCTCTACATATAGACTACTTTTCATTATGCTACAATAATTTACACAAAATGAGGCCTACGCCTTCATGCTGCCCAAGCAGACTGTGGGGGCTGACAAGTATCCGAAGGTTCTGAAAGGGATTAGATTGATTCAAGGAAACTAGGTCCATAAACATACTGGTGGGACTTAGAAGGGACTTAAACGCTAACGTCCCTAATTCAACTGCTGATGCTGAGCGAGCACAAGGGAGTGAAGAAAGTGGCCAGCCTCACATGCTGGCCCCAGTGCCACTGTCCATGACAGAACAGTGGGCTAGATGGATCACTGAGTCTGTAGGATGTTACTTATGTTCTTAAGCCCAGTTAAAAGGATCTCTGCAAAAATCACAATGACCTAATCAAGTGCCAATGACTTTTTTTAGTTTTCAAAAAGAAGAATGTTGATCCAGCACTACCCCATCAGGTCTAGTTGGGACACAGGTTGATTGCCACCACCCCGCCCGCCCCT